CCCCAAAACCCCAAAACCCCAAAACCCCACATTAATAAAATTATAGATTTCTGTTATATTAAGAATAAATAAATCGATAGTATAAAATGAACATATAATAACATCAACAATAGAAGAAAAAGCAGCAGAATTAGGTAATGCTTTCACCTTAATAGCTAAGTCTTCTTAACAAGAACAAACTCATTGAGATGGTCTACAAGAACTATCAGAATCAGGCCACTCTTGTCCAGAATCAGGGCAGGCCAGCTGAAACTGGGGGCTGTGTTACAGTCCTCAGTGCAAGCAGTAACAATGAAACAATAGAGGAAAATAATCTCTCTTTTGCGGTTAATTCCTAGTAATCTAAAAACAATAATTCAAAAAATCAAAGTAAGATAATTTTGAGTAAAATGAGTGACACAAAATCAGCTTAGATTACAAGGAGATCATAATCCGGTGATGGATCGAAGTCTCTCAATAATAGAGACAAGTTAAAAAATTTAGCCAAAATTTCAAAAGACCCAATAAAGCATTAACTATAATAATAGTAATAATAGGATCGAGCATCCTATATATCATTTTTCAATAATTCCAAAGAAATAGAGTTTTTAACAAAAACAATCGGTGTTGCTCCTAATATCACAAATGCCAAAAAAACTACAAGCAATGCTAAATCGAAGAATATTGCGAAAAAGAAGTTGACAAATACGGGTGAAAAATACTATTCAAATTCAAAAGTTGATAGAAGCAGTGGAATTATCTTACAAACTGAAAATGGTATAGTAAGCACTCAAGGATCTATAGGCAATACATAACTTATCTTCAAATCATTTTAAAACAACCCAAATCAAGCTTAAAGTACCCTCTCAGGTCCAGTTACGAAGAAAAATGATAAGATAAAACAAGATCACCTAACTTTGATGAAAGCATCATCAGGTGAGTAATAGCATTAATTATAAAATCAAAAGTTCATGAAGAGCCTAAAACAATTTACTCAAAATTACTTTGGGGTTTAATAAGAAAAAAAGAAAAAGCGACTGACAAACAACAAACCCGCATCAAGCCAGAAAAAATCCTAACTTACTACCAGACGGGACAAATCAGAATCCTTCATAACCAATACGAATCACGACAACACTTAGAGTCAATTAAAATTCGGGTAAATAATGGAGGAATTGGAAAGATTCTCACTAAGCAATCAAAATCTAAATTAGTTTAACTTAACAGAAGACAGTATTGCATAGTCAAGTGTAATGGAAAGCGAGCTTGAGTATACAGACTTTGGCAATATTAGAGCATCGACTTATAAAAGAAATGCTGAAACCGTTCAAAGGAGATAGCAATAATACAAGAGTGAAGATAGGAAAATTGAAAATGGATTTTTCTCTCAAGAGTATTTAGAGAGCAGGTATATGAATCCAAGAGTGGAAATGGAACTAAGTGAGTTCAAAAAGGAAATAGAGGGAAAATTCTAGAAAAGTGATCTTAGAGATTACAAATTTAGCAGAGGAGTAACTTCTATGTCGTATAACATGTAATCTGACATCACTAAAACTTCAATATAAAAAAATCAATCTGTCCTAGAGAACAACGGGAAGAAAAGTACGATGAAGGCAATGTTCCAAAACTTTATGAAATAATCGTTCGATAATTAATTATATAAGACAAAACTTGATACCAGCAATAATTTACTCACTTGTCAAGACAGGTTTGACCAAGATTTCAATTCCCTCACTTAATTAACTTTTGATGTAAATTAGCCCAGAATCAAGACAAACTATAATGGTGTGTCTAAAAAGACCAGTAAAACAGTAATCAAGGACTAATCATAGGTTGTGGGTGGAGCAATCAAGTAAAATTCTCACATTTATGATAAATAGCAAAAGTAACAAAAAACTTCATCATAATACAAAACTCCCAAAAATTACTCACTATAATTAAACCAAGTGGTAAAGAAGATTCTAACTGATAACCGTGGAGGAGCTGGTCTGAATGACGATAATATAACGACAGGTTTTGGTATAGTAGGAAGCAGTGGAACAGGTACTATCGCTAATAATTATGCTGACTTAGGAACTATCAATGAACCTTGCTTTTATACTACATATAATAACAACTCTGGAAAGCAAAAAAATTTTGGAAGTTAAATAGAATTTATGACTAAGGATTGCAGATATAATAGCAATAATGCTGTAGATGCTGTCTAGCATACCAGATATTCTAGATCAAATAGCAGTAGCAGAGGAGGAACAAGGAGCAAAAAGAGGGACAACAGCAAATAAAAAGATAATTCTACTAAGAAGAGAGTAGATAGTACAGTTCCTGCAAAAAATTCACTCATAAATAAATTCTTCAGGTAAAGTAAAGCCATGCATTCACCTTAGAGTAGATAACCTAAGATTAAGACTGCTTTGAAAGATGGAAACTAAATGGATGTCAGATTCAGTAAGCCAACGACCCAAAACACATCAGCTGTCAACTCTAACCTAAGTACAAACAGGTTCCTTCACATGTTCAATAAACCATTTTCCCAACAGAGAAGATAAGCATCTAGCAGTATTAAAACAACAGCAAAAAGTACTTAGAAGAATTCAAGAATGCCTTCATCTAGTAAAAAGCCGTCCTAATAAAATACGAGTAGCACTAACAATTAAGCAGTCAATATCTCAAGTTTTTAAACACAGGGTACTAATGTTAGATTACCAGCAGGGAGATAGCAATACACTAGTCAAGATTACTTGACATCCAGTCAGAATGTTATTTCTACATCAAACGATTAAAAGCTTAATCAATTACTACTTAAGAATAGTTAGATCAAAAGATCTGCTGAGGGATTAAAATAAAGTGACAATTACAAAAACTAGCTATCAAATGCGGCTACTTCCTTGAAAACTAAGTCTTAAAAATAGGAGATGAAGACTCTCATGCAAAGATCATTCCATCACAATTCTAACAATGCTTAGTCAACTTATTAATAGCCAAAATCTTAGAACCTAAAGGGATCTATTCACTAGTCTCCTACTCAATTAACAGGATTGCAGAAAAGTATTTAAAAGAGCACCTAAAAGATTGCAACTAGCAACGACAGAATAATAAATCTAGGTCAGGTTAATGTGAACTCAAATAACAGCTCTAAAGCGCACTTGAACAAATCCTCTAATATGAAATAAACCTCTGCGATTTCTAAATCTATTGCACTAAGTAAGATTTGCAGTGCTGAAAGAGTCAACACAGCCGAATCTCACCCTATAAGAGGTATCCAATTATAACTAATCTGATGATGAAATAAATTACATACAACAGCATAAATAACTTATAAATATTAAAGCCTTTTTTATATTACTATCTAACAAATGATATCTATAACAGTCTGTTTAACTTTGCTTGGGGTTTTGGGGTTTTGGGGTTTTGGGG